TATACAACACAAACAAAAGTTTAAGTATTTTTCTCGTTACATAATTAAAATTCTTATAAAAAAATCTTATCTTGATGCCTTTGAAATAACTAGTTACGAATAACTTTGCATTATTTTTTATCAAAAGAAGACAAATAAGAAATTTTAAATAATGCAAACAACAAACTAGTATATTTTCTCTGATATTCTTTTTATTTTATGAAAAACAACCAATTCTGAACTAAAAAAAGTACAAAAATCATATGGCGGTCAATAATTTCCATTAAAATAAAGAAATGATAGCATTCTTTTTCAACAAAAACAAAAGTTAATGCATATTTATCCTTCAATTATTCAAATGTTATACAATATTACTAATCTAAAGGCATTTATAATGACTGATTGCAGTTGACGTTGCATTATTTCTGATATAAAAGAAGAAATATTTGCATTTTTAATATTTTTGTACTGAAATCAAATGGCGGTTCATAACTTCTATCAAAATAAAGAAATTATTGCATTCATATTCAACACAAGCAAAAGTTTAAGCCTTATATATTTAAAATTCTCATAAAAAATCTGATCTTGATGCCTTTGCAGTAACTAGTTACAAAAAACATTGCATTTTTTTATCAAAAAAAGAAAAATTGGTAATTTTAAACAATGCGAACAACATTTTAGTATATTTTCTTTGAGATTCTTATAATTTTATGAAAGCAACCAATTCTGAACTACAAAAAGTACAAAAATCCTATGGCGGTCATTAATTTTCATTAAAATAAAGAATTGATTGCATTCTTATTCAACAAAAACAAAAGTTTAAGCCTTATATATTTAAAATTCTCATAAATAATCTTATCTTGATGCCTTTGCAGTAATAGTTACAAAAAAACATTGCATTTTATTTATCAAAAAAAGAAAAATTGGTAATTTTAAACAATGCGAACAACATTTTAGTATATTTTCTCTGATATTCTTTTGATTTTATGAAAAACAACCAATCCTGAACTACAAAAGTACAAAAATCCAATGGCGGTCAATAACTTCCATAACAATAAAGAAATGATTGCATTTTCTATCAAAATAAGAGAATATGGAGTAATACAGGTTATTGCGAGAACAGTAATTCAATATTTTTTTTATGTGCTATTGCGACCAAGTTGATTACAAATTAACGAGTAAAAATGTCTTCGTAGAGGTCCGCGTTTATCGAATGTAAATACTGTAGAGTTCGTTTTACATAAGAATTTTAATTATATACGTATCCGTCCGATCCGTGCATATAATTACTTTACTGATCGATCGCTGACCGTTGTCACGATAACTCTCACATAGCTAATTTGACGTATCTGACGGATTATATGGGTCATCGATCACCGATCAGTCATCGATCAGTCAAACATCCATCACCGATCATTCACCAATCAGTCAATATCGCGTCAAACAGTAACGCCTAAGGTTGCAAGTACTGTATTCACAATCATTTATTAAATACATTGTGGAATAAAATCCTAAGACTTGTTATATAATAAATTAGATTTATTAGATTTAAAAACACATATGAAACAATTTTTTTTTATTTTGGTTGTATCAAAGATATGTTAGTTATTTATATGTAGGCAAGCCACTGGTATGATTGAATACACAGTGCCATGAATGCATATATGTTTTTCACTTTTTTCTTTTTTTCTTTTTGTAATATGTTATCTATAAGCAACTGTCAAACTAGTGGGAGGTTAAGCTAGCTACAAATCTAGTTTCAACCCGCCAGTTTCTTTGGAAAATGCATGTAGCAAGTCAGGAATATAATAGTTATTTTCCACCCGTTCCGTTGGTTGATTACGTTTGATTTTGTCATTTGTTATGGACTTTTCCTTTTTGAATGTATCTTGGAGTTCGGTATCTTTTTAAAACTTTTTTATCCAATTAAATATAAACATAAGGTAACAATTTTGCATGTGCAATCCGAGCAATCAGAAGAGTTATGCTTTAAATAAACTTAGTAAACAACCATTTAAATCTGAAAGGGGGTAATGCTTTTTTTTACTAAAAAATATGCTGAATTTGAACTAGACAAAATAATTATTTTGAAATACAAAATGTAATAAGAAAAGAAAATGAAATAGACAGACAAACAACAGTACACAAAATAACATATAAAACCAAAGACTGAGCAACACGAACCCCATTAAAACTGGGGGTGATCTCAATTGCTCCGGAAGGATAAGCCGGATCTGTTCCACATGTGGCACTCGTCGTGTAGTTCATGTAAGTACAAACCCGATGATATGTCTAATTTGGTAGGTCACATTCGGGGGGAGGGAACGAGATTATAGTTACAACAATTGGAACATATCCGTCGTCATCTGTGAAACAGATATTCTATAACGGTCAACCAACTCGTGATGGCGTCCTTAAAATTTACGAAAGGATGGTTTGAACTTCAACACTTGGAACTCTTGGTTTAATAGCTTCCTTGTGAGCAGCAACCCTCTATCAAGGAAATCATGATAGGAAACACAAGCCCTGGAATATCGTATCAACTGGGAGATATATACTCCCCAGATTCCACGAAAGAAGCTAGAATCCCCGAATGAACGAAGACGTGAATAGTCCCCAAAGCGAAAGATGTCCGTCCCCCTTTTAATTAGTTTATTAATGATTAGGAGGGAAAGGGGAGACAACTCGATAGAGCAGCGTTACTTTCCCCTTTTCCTTCGTAACAGAGTGGAATCTGGGGAATATTAGCATTTTATGGGGATTCTAGCTCACTCCTATCTTGTCTAAGTAATTCCTTCTGTGAGTGTGTCCATCTTCTCGGACACTTGTACTTTCGAGGCCTGGCGATGGTGAATAAAATGACTGGGGAATACTAGCATTTTTCGGGGGTTCTAGCTGTTACCTTGGGAATTCTAGCTGATTCATTTCCGGTCTACCTGGGGAATAAAATACAATATTGTTTTAATGAATTACTCCAAACAGCAATCTACATTGAAGTGTGATATGTGATGTTTGGAATGTGGTCTTCCCTTTTTAAACCCAACATCACGTGCTGATTGGAACTATTGTATTCACCTATGAAATTTCAGCATCAATTTCGAATTTTCTTAAGTTGCTTTTTATTGGTCAACTATTCTTTTTTTTTGTGTTATAGATTTATATAATTGACATCTATTTTATTTAGTTATGTAAAAGCAATTAATGGATTATCCAAATCTTTACTTAATTTACAGGATTATTTTAGTGGACAATAGAAACTCTTTAGCATTATTTTCCTATGGGCAAATTACAACAATTTTTGTACAGTTAATTAATTGATTTCTCAACGTCACATTAAAAGATAAGATCAAAAGAACTCTAGAAATTAGATTTACTTATGTTTAACCTGATTATTATCAACAGACGAAATTACTTATTACTTAATCTTAAGTCACCTATTTTGTCTCAAAACTTTAGCAATGCAATATAATCCAATTTTATTTATTTATTCATTTATTAATCTTTCTTAGTTTACTTTGTTTTACTTTTATTTACCAGCATACAATTTTCCATCATTATATAATATCTCATTGAATTGTGCACAGGAACAAAACGTACTGAAAGAATGATATATGCATGGAGATTGAAAGATAAGCCTCTTTAAGCGCCTCAATATTTGTATTTCTATGCATGAAACGAAAAATGTCTTAATTGAAGGACCCAGTTTTGCCAATGTGTACGACCCGGTTTCGTCCAAACATTGTACACAACAGGACCGAATCTTAGAAAATAAAGTATAATCGCATAATGTAAATCAAAGTCAACTTGGTGTTCAACACGTGTTTAATGGCTCGTTGTAAACCCTTGTTTTTCAATGGACAATTTTTTTTTCTTTTATCCGTTGAACTTTCTGATTATTGAAACAAAAATTAATTTTACGCTTGATTTGTATGTAATAAATTCTTTAACGGCGAATACAAGCGAATGAAAATGTTAACGCATATTGATGTTTTTTAAAGCTTTCTATAAGTAATGTAAAATTAAGTGTTCAAATCAAAATGGTCTTTATACGAAATCCGTTGGATGTGTACTGATTGAGACTTTAGTCTGGGAGAACATGATAACCTGATGTTCAGTGGTTGTCGTTTGTTGATGTGGTTCATAAGTGTTTCTCGTTTCTCGTTTTTTATATAGATTAGACCGTTGGTTTTCCTGTTTGAATGGTTTTACAGTAGTCATTTTTGTGTCCCTTTATAGCTTGCTGTTCGGTGTGAGCTCCGTGTTAAAGGCCGTACTTTGACTTACAATGGTTTACTTTTACAAATTGTGACTTGGATGGAGAGTTGTCTCATTGGCACTCATACCACATCTTCTTATATCTATGATAAGTTGTACTTGGCTTTGAACTAGCTTTAAGTAACTGCAAGTAATCTTATTTCGGTGCTTGATGTCTATTGATTGATGTTAGTTGTTTTTTATGCCTCGTACCGGTCTTTTGATTTAAGCCAATTGCTACTGAATTTTATACATTTTGGTAGTTTGTTCTTATGTTGAACTGTTACACCACTGACCCAGGTTAGGGGAGAGTTGAGTGCTCTCAAACATGTTAAACCCCGCGAAATTCTTTGTGTGTCTGTCCCAAGTCAGGAGCCTGTAGTTCAGTGGTTGTCGTTTATTCATGTCTGTTATACTTGTTTTTTGTTATTTGTTTTGTTATAAATTAGGCCGTTATTTTTTATAGTTTGCATTGTTTCACATTTTTCATGTCGGGGCCTTTTATAGCCGACTATACGGTATTGATTTTTCCTCATTGTTGAAGGTCGTATGGTTTCCTATAAATGCTATATCCATTTTTGTAAATTCTGGTGGATAGTTGTCTCATTGACAAGCATACCACATCTTCTTTTTTAAATTGCATAGTGTACAGCATTGAATATTTAAGGATATAGGGATTGTCTGGACAACAGATGGTTCTCTAAGTAAATATTCCAGTCTACCTTAGGAGGGATGTTTCCTATGATCGTTTGAAAATAAATATCCTCAACACTAAATGTTCAGTATAAATTAAGAAAATAAGACAAATATATATGCGTGTTCACATTAACATCGTGTTCATAACAATTGTTTAATTTCATATACGGGTATATCAATTCAACTCATAAATATGTTACTTATCCAGCAGATATATCACATCTTCTCTTAACGGCGATTACTTTATTATATAATGCAGACATAATTTTTATCATTTTAGTGTCAGTATTTTTTGAAAATGTCTTGCATCCATCCGTAGTATTGTCTGAGTTCTTACATTGCCTGTAGTGATGCAATATTATATTGTGAGATCGAAGCACAATCCTGTAACAGACAAAAATACACTGTTGAGAATTACAAGGTAGAAGGCATTAGTGCATTACTAAATCATGGTTGGATGCATCTAAATGGATAATTGCCATGCAAAAAATATTTTAGTAAATGAATAAAAAAAACTTGGATTGGATATGCATCAAATGGACCAAAGTGACAGCAACAAAAGGACACGAAAACCAATAACACGAGAGGTTAATACACGGCCAGAGGCAAATGTATATGCTACAGTGACATCCAATACTGTAATAACGTTTTATTTTATCACTACAATTTTTAAGCAGGGTTATTGTAAAAGATATATTTAACACGCAGCCTTTAACAACAATAGTATTAACAAAACGTAATTTTCTTTTTCTATAAGCTTTATCACAGGCACTTGTCTCTTAAAAAAAAATGTCCTATATACCTTCATATAACACAAGGTACGTAACTAGCATTTTTGAAAAATGACAATCGGTCGCGAACTTTCGTTATATTTTGATTCCTCGGTTGTCTACCCCCCTAAAACTTATTATGCCGTAAATCTACATTGATTTATTTACACAATGGTGTATGACACGCCTACCTTTGTGGTCGGAATTATTCATAGCAGGCCTCCCAATTATTTCAATCGTAATTATTTTGTCCTCTCACAGCCCTTTGGAAATATAAGGTTCGCAGTAAATTACTATTCCTCAAAACTATGCACGAATTAAAAAAAATATATATGGGCATTCTTAAACAATGCGAACACAATTCTGGTACCTTATCTCTAAAACTTAGCTCATAATGAAGTTCAAAAGTTCTTTTATCAAATGAGAGTTCATGAGTTCCATTAGAAATGAAATTACTATAACAGTCATATTCAAAAACAAAAGTTTAAGCATCTTTACTCTTATCTTGATCACATTTAAAAAAAAATTATCTTAGACTAGATGCACAAAAAAACATGATTACCAAAGACAATGCATGATTTTAAATAGAAAGAATAAATATACATGTAATGGGCAATCTTAACAATTATTAAACTCAATTTTCAGCATCTTTTTCTTATACATGTTATATTCTTGATATTTTATTATATTTAATGAAATCATTCTTCCTTCTATACAAAAAGTATTAACATACAATGACGGTTCGTGATTTCCATTAAATGGACGAAATAATTGCACTAGTATTCAATAAGAACAAAAGTTTAAGTATCTTAATCATTTTTATATCTTTTATGAAAAATAACTCATTCAGATGCTCTTAAATGACTGATTGCTTAAAATGGTGCATAAATTTAAAACGAAAAGAAGAAATATGGTCATTCTTTAACAAAGCGAACACACGTGCTCCCTCTAAAGAAAGCAGAAGTCCATCATGCGTTGCAACTCATTTAACACGACCGGGTGCCACATGTGGAGCAGGATAATCTTACCCTTCCGGAGCACCTGAGATCACCCTCAGTTTTTGGTGGGGTTCATGTTGCACAGTCTTTAGTTTTTATGTTGTTTTTTGTGTATTGTTGTTTGTGTTGTAGACCTGGAGATATAAAGGTAATCTAACTGGTTGAGCTAGGGAAGATCTTCTTTGACTCACTTGGTCTGCCTTTAGATCCCGAGTTTAAGGGTTCGAATCCCGCTGGTACCATCCAAGGATTTTCACAATAGTATATTGGTCTTTTTCCTTTTTTAGCCATGGCGTTGTCAGTTTATTTTCGACTAATGAGTTTGAATGTTCCTTTGGTATCTTTCGCCTCCTTTTTAATAGATCAGTCAATTCTCCAAGGCAAAACACCTGGCTTATTATGCAAACCAACAATTATATTGGCGGAACATCGGTATGCAAATGTATGTCTATCGTTAAATGGTAGTGTACATGACCTTATTAAATGAATTTATGTTTCGGGGTGATTCATCAATCATTTAAAACAGGTAAAAAAAAATATTTCAATTACAAATTCTGGACAAAAATAAATACGACACTTTGATTATGTAAAAATATTTTTCATGAGAAAAAACTGATTTTTACAGTGTTATTTCTATTTGGTTTACCCTTGTACTTATATTTACTAAATGTTTACCTTATCGATAAAGTGTATACTCTATACGGTATGTACAATCAACGACGTAGTCAAATTTGCTTGCGTCTTTGTTAGATTAATTTTAGATTGAGATTTGAGATAAATTTGTATGTTTGTTTGAATTTTTTAGTCAGTTTTGTTGTATGTCTGTGATGTGTGTTTGCACTGTTTTGACTGTGGTCACATTAACCTTTTATGTCTGTTTGGGTTGCTTACCCAAGTATGTCAATATTACGGAACAATAAACAACTGTCAAGTAGGAGGTTTAGCCAGTTACAAATCAAAGTTTAACAGATCATTTTCTTCGGAAAATATCTGTACTAAATCAGGAATGTGGCACTTGCTTTTCACTTGTTCCGTATGATTTTGTCAGTTTTTATGAACTTATCCTTTTTGAATTTGCCTTCGAGTTTGGAATTTTTGTTATACTTTTTTATATAATATTTAATTGAAAAAAAAAATTTGCATTCTTAAAAGATAAAAGAAACAATATGTATCTTTATTTTCCCATGGATTGTTTTTTCTCCTTCCTATCCTTATGAACAAAAAGCACAAATATCCCATGATAGTGGATGATTTCAATCAAAATTTTGGATCAATGGTTTTTCATTTTAATTTAACATTATCATCCTTTACGACAGACAAAATAACTGATCTGAAAGATATAACCACGTGTTATCCGATAGATAATGTCTGTCATAAAGTTATCACATGTTTAGACGTGCATAATATATAGTTTATATTGTTTTCGTTTGGGCTTGTATCATATTTGCCCTCTGATTTATATAATCCGTTCATCCTATTTCGACTCTTCAAAATTCAAGAGTCAATCCTGAATTGAGGTAAATCTTATGGCCTTTCAAATACCGTTTCGATTCCTAACATCACTGAAGAGACATTAATTGTCGAAATCCGGATATGGTGTACCAATTTTTGCACCTTATGTTTGCGGTATACCATCTTTTCCGCAAGTTTATTGTTTTCTGTTTGGTATTAAATTAATAATTAAAATCCATTTTGTTACATCTGGTGATCCCTTTGTTTGGCAATCGCCATGGCAGTCAGCAGGGTTTAAGAACGTCTGTTGTGCGACCTGCTAGTCAAATGCGTTTTATTAAAATATACTTTTTCACTTTTTTAGTCTTTTGGAAAATGTTGTTTGTGCTATATTGAGACCCTACCAAGAAATTTGTTTTGCATGCACACGTATAAAAATTGCGGTTTTTATCCAATGCATTGATAGGTTTGTACGTTGTTTTCAATTTAGACTTGTTTATATTTTTTCGTTTGGACTTGTATTATATTTGCCTTCGGGTTTATATAATCCGTTCATCCTATTTCAACTCTTCAAAATTCAAGAGTCAATCCTAAATTGAGGTTAAATTTTATGGCCTTCCAAATACCGTTTCGATTCCTACCATCACTGAAGAGACATTAATTGTCGAAATCCGGATATGGTGTACAATTTTTGCACCTTATGTTTGCGGTATACCATCTTTCCCGCAAGTTTATTGTTTTCTGTTTGGTATTAAATTAATAATTAAGATCCATTTTGGTGATGCATTTATTTGGCAATCGCCATGGCAGTCAACAGGGTTTAAGAACGCCTGTTATTTGACCTGCTAGTCAAATGCGTTTTGTTAAAATATACTTTTTCACTTTTGTGGTCTTTTGGAAAATGTTATTTCTGCTGTATTTAGACCCCTCTACCAAGAAATTTGTTTTGCATGCACACGTATAAAAATTGCGGTTTTTATCCAACGCAATCATAGGTTTAAACGTTGTTTTCAATTTAGACTTGTTTATATTTTTTTCGTCTGGGCTTGTATTATATTGCCTTCGGGTTTATATAATCCGTTCATCCTATTTCGAATCTTCAAAATTCAATAGTCAATCCTAAATTGAGGTAAATTTTATGGCCTTCCAGATACCGTTTCGATCCCTTACATCACTGAAGAGACATTATTTGTCGAAATCCGGATATGGTGTACCAATTTTTGCACCTTATGTTTGCGGTATACCATCTTTTCCGCAAGTTTATTGTTCTTTGTTTGGTATTAAATTAATAATTACATCTGGTGATCCCTTTATTTGGCAATCGCCATGGCAGTCAGCAGGGTTTACGAACATCCATTGTTCGACCTGCTAGTCAAATGCGTTTTGTTAAAATATACTTTTTCACTTTTTTAGTCTTTTGGAAAATGTTGTTTGTGCTGTATTGAGACCCCTCTACCAAGAAATTTGTTTTGCATGCACACGTTTTAAAATTGCGGTTTTTATCCAACGCAATCATAAGGATGAACGTTGTTTTCAATTTAGACTTGTTAATAGCCATATATGTACAGTCATGATAACTCATATTCCTACATCCTGTCGATACGTTTTACTAATAGCTGGCACTGCACAAAGTCATGCGTTTCTCAGACTGTTTATGACGTCTTTACACTAAATCTGTTGGATGTGTACTGATTGATACTTCAGTCTGGGAGAACATAATTAATTTATTAGTTGTAATTTGGTTTTGAACTAGCTTTCAGTAACTTTTTTCGGGGTTTTGTGTCTATTGTTTTTATGGTAGTTGGGTTTTTTAATTGCTTACATCCACTTCATTTGAATTCTGGTGGATAGTTGTCTTATCGGCTATCATATAATTTTATATTACTAGCGTTGAATGCCAAAACGTGTTTAACTAAGCCATAATCTTCTAATGCTTATCGAAAGCAACACGACGATCCTATAATCTAGTGGTTGTCGTTGGATGCTTTTTGTCATATTTTGTTTAATTGCATTAGCTTGTCTGTCTATTATTTTTCGTAGTATTGTTTCACATTTTTTGATCCACTGCTTTTATAGTATACAATACGTTGTTGTTAAAAGACATTTCATTTTGTCTTTAGTTGATAGTTGGCTCATACAGCATCTCCTCATTTACATTTTTACAGTCACTGTACTTATACATAACCTTTGCAATAAATATGAGTTACATTAAAACATTGCTTTAAGATAGACATTTATGTCCCGTTTAAAAGGAAATTAATGGTATTAATCTTAGTAGTTACCATTGAAGTTCATCAACAAAAGAAAACGTGAGAGACATAACAATGGACTACTTTTTTTAGTGATAATATATTGTTATGAAGCTCATAAAATCAGCATTATATTCATGTTTAAGTAAGTAAGCATATTTAAAGCTATTTCTTACCCAATCCAATTCTTGATACTCTTATTTTATGCAGGTTAATATATAGTAAAAAAATAATAAAATGACAACACTTTAATGACAAAAAAAGACAAAACATTGAATAAAAACATATATATTTTGAAATATGGTACCCACAAACTTCCATATCTAAATTATACTTTTTGTTAAATCCCTGCATTCTAGTATAAACACTCATCACATATACCAGGCTTAAAATTTGCTACTCATGACGCGTGGTTCATCTACATAAAACTCATCAAAGTTGCTCGAATCATTTGGAAATTTGAAAGGCAAAAATTAATGCAAATGCAAATGCAAAATTGAAAAACATTAAAGACTGAGTTATGCCAAATACAACCAAGGCAATCTATGTCTGCGGAAAGAAAAACCCTAGCATTTTGAATCATTCAGCAATTTATAAACAGTCCAATTCACAGAAAATGAACTTATTCGAAAATCTATTTTTGAAAACAATTCTGAAATTAATAATAGGGTTCATGATATACCCATTTCTAGAATAGAAATAAACTCCAAGTACTCGCAAAGCGGTTTGTGTTCATACCGGCAGACAAAGCAGCCAATAATGTAGTGGTGGTGTGAAGCATATACTACACGGACGTTCTCCAAAACGAATTTATCAATTCTTCTACATTCAGGTCCGTACGCTCAACAGAGAGTTAAATTGTAAACAAGCATATCACTGCCACTACACAGCTTAAAGCCTCTTCCGAACATTTGAAAGTCCCGACTATGTACTGGTTACGTAAATTACACAAACAACCATTTAACTTTCGTTTCATCTCCGCATCTAGTAAGTGTTCTACTACTAAACTGTCAGTGCTTCTAACTACCTCCCTTACTACTATCAAAGAACTCGTTATTAACTTTTTTAATAAAGTTTATGAAAATAGTGGTATTAATCATTTTTGGAGTTTTAAAACTTCTTTAGAGGTTTTAGATAAAATACGTGCTTTTGATGGTCCTTTTAAATCTGTTGACAGTTATGATTTTTTACTCTCTACACTACACTTCCAAGAAAAAGTTTTTATATTTAATTGAATGGTCTTTTGAAATATCTCATTGCAAATTTATTTGCTGTAACGTTTAAAGCCTTTTTCTGTAACGAAAAAGGAAAGTATGCTAGATACACTTACTTGAAATGTGAAGATATGATTGAACCTTTAAATTTTCTCATGGACAACATATATGTTCGTTTCGGCGATAACGTGTATCGACAGGTAGTAGGTATTCCTATGGGCAAGAATTGCGCCCCTTAAATAGCAGATTTATTCCTGTATCGCTATGAATCTCAGTTTATGACCAAACTCAGTAAAGACACGTTATTGTTACATTTGGTTGACACTTTCAACAATACCTACCGTTATCTTGATGATATTTTTTCGTTTAGTTATCCAGAGTTCTCTAAATATACTACCGAAATTTACCCAAAGGAACTTACTCTAAATAAATATAACATAAACAGCAGTAGTTGTCCTTTTCTAGATTTAGACATTTCAATTTATAAAGGGAAACTCCATACTAAATTTATGACAAAAAAGACGATTTTTCATTCCCTATTGTTAATTTTCCTGTTTTAGACGGCGATGTTCCTTTGGCTCTATCATACGGTGTTTATATATCCCAACTCGTTCGTTATGCCCTTGTGTGTAGTGATGTCATAGATTTTAACGAATGCATCACTGGTAAATTATTAAGTCAGAGATTTCGTTACCAAAATTTACTTAAAACATTTACTAAATTCTTTCATAGATACAAAGATTTGATTAGTAAATTTGGCTGTACCTGTAGAAAAGTTATTAAAAACGGTATTTCACATCCTAAATTTTACGGTAATATTGTACTAAAAGCGCGGAAATCACTAATAGTATGTGATCCGTGTAAACTCATCGAACCTTTAAACAAACTTATTAGAAAAGGATATCTGATTAATGTTGTAATAAGATCTTTGAATATTGTTTACATTGGCACAAATATCGATTTGTCATCAACAAATTAAAGCACAACTAAATTTATATTCTTTTCGAATGTTTTTTTGGGATGTATAAATACACATCCACGTTTATTTTCTATATAGAGATTGCTTTATCTATATATAACATGATAAATATTTATATATATATTAGGTTAAATCCCAACTATCCTACTGCCTGTCGATACTTTTATTTTGGCATTGCACAAGTCATGTTTTCTTTGACTGTCCATGGCGTTAAAACAATAAATCCCTGGGATGTGTTTTAATTGATTTTAGTCTCTGATGCATGATTTTTTTTTATTAATAATTGTTTTTGGCTTTTAACTAGCTTTCAGTAACTTTGAGTACTCTCAAATCGTACTTTCGTGTTTATTTGACATGTTGACACAATTTGTAATGCATTTTTGTTATTCAATGTTTACTTATTTTGTGTTATATCTTGTCTCACTATTTTTAATATGTACCACCTTTGATAAATATATATGACGATACATTTTCACTTCTGTACTCGTACTAATAACAAAAAAAATATTTATTTTGTAAAAAATATTTCCGTACTCCTAACAACAAAATTATTATATTCAAATTTACCTGTGTACGTTATTTTATTTAACGCCATTTTGTCCCAAGTTAGAGTTGTCTTTCTGACATTGTTTTACATCCCCCTTTTTTAAAATTAATATTGTATTTATATTGTATAATAGATCTAATTTATTCGTTCAGTGTATGTTTACTTGTTTATGTTAATATGCCTTTTTATCGAGTTAAGCCATTTCAATTGATATTTTATAGTGTGTCTTTCTATGTTGTAATGTTACATTACTGTTTCAGGTTAGGGTGAAGGTTGGCGCCTGTTAAAACGTTTAGATCCACTGTATTTGTTTGCACCTGTCCTAAGTCAGAAGCCTGTTGTTCAGTGGTTGTCGTTTGTTGATGTGGTTCATAAGTGTTTCTCGTTTCTCGTTTTTTATATAGATTAGACCGTTGTTTTTCCTGTTTGAATTGTTTTACACTAGTCATTTTGGGGCCCTTTATAGCTTGCTGTTCGATGTGAGCCATGGCTCCGTGTTGAAGGCCGTACTTTGAACAGCGGTATACTACTATTGCCTTTATTTGACCTATAATAGTTTACTTTTTACACATTGTGACTAGGATGGAGAGTTGTCTTATTGGCACTCATACCACATCTTTTTATTTCTATATCAATGTACTTCAATGATAATACAAAAGTGCTGCCTACTGGGCTATACCCTCATGGACACAAAAATCAGGATATCTGATATGATTGTCAAGGACACAACAATCAATTAAGACCAACAAGTCATAGATGTGGACAATTAAATGTCCTCTCAGAGCCTTCACCAATGAGTTTTTAATGAAACAAATCACCTTACTGTTTTATGTAATGATAAATACCTTCGGTATCCCTTCCTGGGCCACACCAGATGTGTATCCACGGTAACTATTTTGTTAGGCAAATAAATATTTTTATATCGATGAAAAAGGGGCTTTGATCTTTTTATATATCTACTGGTTATTAAAGGTTCGACTCCTGAAACGCCCCAATCAGTTAAGAAGAATGATACATTCAGGGTGAAAGCAGCAGCATCCGGATAAGCTGGTAACAACTCTGACTAAAGAAAAAAACATCATTAACAGACCAAGAATGACAATAAAATACTGATAGTAGTAGTAATGATTTACGTTGGTATTAATATTAGTTATATTTGTGTTTATTAATAATAGATCAAATATTCATGAAAATGTGAATTAATCATGTTAAGCACATAGTATATATTATGTCTGCATGTCAAATTTTCGAAGAAACTGTCAGTCTTAAGGAGGTTTTTATATGAACCTGTCAGTACATGAGTTGATTAATTGAATTATTAACTGTTTATTGTACGACATATCATATTATTGCACATCATTTAGACTGCGAATCAATACTACGTCTCAATGTCGCAAACTTGACAAAGAAACCGATAATACCAGTATTTTTTATTCAATTGTTGGTTTGAACCATCAACCAGTGATCAAATCCACAACACCAAGCACTGGACACAAGTATTCTACCAGAACATCCATGAGGTGTTAAAATTAGAAAATGTTTTATTAATTCAATTCAATGGATTCAGATGGCCGTAGGAATATTAAATTTTTCCTACAAAAATCCGCTATGTTGTTGGCCTGATTTCTCCACAAAAACTCCGATATTCCTAAGGGAACAAACTGTACTCTTGTTTTTGTCGACATTACATTTTATTTACACACTTCATCCAGATTCTTATTAAGAAGAATAAAGCTAGTATATTCCTTTTACTATATAGCCGGTCACAGATGACTACGGATATGTGCCAACTGTCGTATCACAATCCTTCCTCTTTTCCTCGAATGTAACGTATCGAATTAGACTTATCGCCGGGTTTATACTTTCATGTGCAACACGACGGGTGCTACATATGAAGAGGATCTGCTTACCCTTCCACAGCATCTGAGATGAGCCTGGTTTTTGGTCGGGTTCGTGTTTCTCAGTCTTTAGTTTTCTATGTTATGTTTTGTATACTGTTGCTTATCTTTTGGTTGTTTTTGCTATGTCATTGTCAGTTCGTTTTCGACTTATGGGTTTCATTATTCCTTTGTTATCTTTCGCCTAACTTCTCAAAGAATAGCAAAATACGGATAAGAGTCAACTCCAACTCAGGAAGTTGGAACTTTGTTTTTTGATAATGTCCTATTTTTTCTTTTAAGTTTCCATTATTTCTTTGACTTGTGGTTTTTTATGTCCTTGTTGTATTTTCCCCCTTTTTGAATTTGACTCGACCTTAATATTTAATAACTTCCAACCGAAAACAACATGACTTTTTACAGGATTTTCGAATGTAGCATGATAGGCATTAGTAGTGGAACGTACAACTCTTCCAGAACAGATCTGCAGAAATATTAATCCACCAAACTCAACTAGTATGTTGTCAATCATAAAGTATTTGCTGCTATTATCTTCGGTGTATTTGCTGTTGGAATCAGTGTGGTTCTTCACAAAGTAAGATTTGTCATGAACTTATACAAGATATTTGTGTCTACGTTTTTCATTTTTGTAGAAAGATCTCTGTTTAATGAGACTATGTAGTCTATATTGTAATCAAGCATAAAGAATAGTAGAGAAGGGCGTGAAAATTTACGGATTTGATATTACTGCAATATTGTAAAGATTACGATTGAAAATTTTGGAGTTGATCTTTAGAATGTTTGAGACTTCACATCTGATTGACATCGCTTGTTGATTATAAATTATAACAACATTTCTTAAGGTCATATTTTACTGTAAAAAGAATGATAGTAAGAACTTTAGAAGCTGTTAAGTCGAACTTCTTGTCGACACTGCTATATATCGTTCTTAATAAGGATGTTGGTGAAGTTTAGGTATCAAGTATCAATATAGGAGATTTTTATCGTCTTTTTTATGTTAAGGAGAGAATGGTGGATTTGTGATTTTCTAAAATCTCTTTCGTGTAGATGTACAGGTGTATTTGATATTTCCAGTTTCGCTTTGAATTTTTCCTAACAAAAACATTATTGTTTGAGGCTTTGTCTGCCGAAACAACAAAACATTTGTTTCGAGGAAAGGATTAAGCATCCACAAACTCGAGTTTCTTGAAAGGGCCGGAAACACGTGAGTCCATTGCATATCGTAGATTTGGAATGCGCTTCTGAATGCCTGGCCGAACAGCTTTTAACCATTTAGATAAAGTGTCGAGTTTTAGTTCATATGGCTCGCTTTGCCCATTTTCTTACATTGTCCTGAACTACATACATCAGTAATTTAATGTCCTTTCTTCTGTTGGTTGGCTGTGAAATTCAATATTTCCAGCCTTTGGCTAACAACTTTCTCAGTTGTTCATTGTCTACGATGCCAAGATCTCCATTGATAACATGACTAGCGGGACTATATTTGTATGGGGACAGTGCATAAGAGCAATTGATATGCTTGGATTTTACATCCCTGAGGGTAAAGGTCTCTTATACCATCTTGTGGTTGAAAATCTTTGAATCAATAGATTTGGTGTAAGTGTATAAAATCAAAGGTGTACCTTTATTTTTGAAGTTATCAAGTATTGTTTTCTGTACATATTTTTTTGTGGAAATATGTCATTATTAATGGCATCAAAACCATTATTAGCAAATTCTACATGAGAAACAAACTATTTGTCGCATCATCTTTGGAAGTCTTTTTATTGGTTTGAATATCCTACGGTTAGCAATGTACATGTTTATTGCAACCCTTCTGTATCTAGCAGAATTTGTATCTATAATGAAAGTGTTTGGGCCTCTTGAAATAGTGTATTGAGCATTGAAAAAGATATTGAACCCAATATAAAGACTATGGTTTATTTAAAACACCATATGTTTGATATTTTGCATATATACCTTTAAAACAAAAGAGTCTGACATTTTAAATAACATATTTTCGATAAACCATTATTTACCTTTAGCATTTCTGTGTATACTAAAAAATTTCCATGAACAATGTACTCGTCGAAATCTACCACCGCCACAAAAGCGAATCCCTGTAAAATTTCTTTGCAAGAATACACTGCAACCTGTTCATCGTGGGTACTTTGATGGTAATGCCACTGATGCAGTGCGAAACTGCGGTCTGAAACACATTTAAAACCTTATTCAGTTAATCGTTTAAATTAAATGGTAGACCTATTGTGTTTGAATGATAACACGTACATCAACAAAAGACGTCCATTGTCAGAAATGTGTAATAATACCATTTATAGATAAAAAAAATATTTTTCGACAATTGAATAATATTGATGTAAATATCAGGCTTAACTGTGTAGTGTTTACTTCCCTTTCATTGTAGTTATATTTTAAAGGAAATCAACAATTATAAAACCTAAACAGTGAAAACGACACAAAACAAGAACTGCCACTTTTACATATATTCTGGTCTAATCATTCACTCATTGTGGTATATTGTTTAACAATATATGATTGTTTTATATTTTTGACTGATGAGAGGCGGAATATACCAAAGGAATATTCAGCTTCCGTTCGGTTAAATTTGAATATTTCCCTTTCTTATTATATTGAATTGTTTTCAAAATTTTTCTGTACACTTGAATCTGAATAGAATGACAGATTGTATAAAAAAGTATAACAATTAAAAAACCTTTGACCTTTGACCTTGACCTGATTTTCCAAGTTATTACTCAAGGATCTCAAATCAAAAGACCTTAGTTCTTTACGGCTTACGGTTTATGAACTACACTGACATACCGATACAATAAATAGTGACGGGTAGATAACTACTGTAAAATGTCACTGGATCACTTCGCTCCAACTGAACAAAGCTTAAAGAGGATATAACGAACTATTTAGAAAAAGAATTTCGTCGATATCTTTTTTTGGTTACGGAGGAAATGCACACACAAGATAAACAGTGTATGGGGAAATAACTCTTACACAGAAAATTGTTCGGTTAAGCAGGGTCAACTTTAAAAGCGCATAAACTATATGATACAATATGAAAAATATCTAAGCGACGTATTGCGAAACAAAGATTTGACGGAAGATCAAACTTTGGCGGAAGAAAAAAAAATTGATAATGATAATAATCAGAACAAAATCAAAAGGTCTTTCAACAGAAAAGTGGAAAGACCTAATCATAATAATCAGAACAAAATCAGTGGAAAGACCTAATAAATATAATGGGTGTAAATACGTGATGGGAATAACGTTGCAATATTAGTTAAAGCATATTTTATTGTTCAAAATGACAAATTGATCAGATATAGGTTTTACATCTGATGCTGTATTATTGAAAACTTATCCATTTGTATTGTTAATATCTAGATTAAGATAATGCACATATCGCTGTACATTTGTTAAAAGAAGCAACGAAGGGCACATAAAATGAACTTATAGCTTGTAAGCAGGCAGGCAGGCAAATTTCTTTTTTTTTTTCATACTTCGATATTTTTTTTGATTCATGAATAATTTTTCAAGTAGTTTTTTTTTTCTTCTTGATTTTTTGCAATGTTCAACTTTTGCATAATAGTGTGTTCGTGTAAAATTTAAAAAAAAAAAATTGTTGGGGTGCACGGTTTAAACGCATATTTTCTAAGCTACTTATTAATTAAAGCAACGAACATATATAAGCTCTGCATTAAATTATGCAATGCATTTATATACAAACCAGTCCAAATTATTGGATCAGAAGCAGAATATGCATGGATGAGGAACTAAACTAAAATGAATCACTGCACATAATAAGGTAATCATCACTTAATGGCCAATGCTTAATCAACAGTTATATATAGAAGTGAACTCGAAATTAATGATTATTATTAAAAAGTAAAATAGCAAAAATACCGAACTCCAAGGAAAATTCAAAACGGAAAGTCCCTTATCAAATGGCAAAATCAAAAGCTCAAACACATCAAACGAAAGGAAAACAACAGACATATTCCTGACTTGGTACAGGCATTTCTTTATGTAGAAAATGGTGGATTAAACCTGGTTATATACCTAGCTAAAACTCTCACTTGTATGACAGTCGCATGATTATTAATTGATAATAAAAACGCAAGTACAAACATAAGAAAATAAACTATTATGTATATATTGTATCGAAACTATTCTCAAAGTTATTCAGTTTGGATTGCATTTTTAGTTTAAAGTTTGTAAGCTGACTTACTATGTATTCTATTCCTTCATTACAGTTTAGAGCTATAGAGGTTGGGGGAGTAAAGAATCAGATATACTCTTACATCGTTAGGTTGATTTTCTAGGTACTTTATAGATATTCCATATGTAGGCGCTGCTGGAATGTTGCTTCATAGAAATATAAAGTTCCCATTTTGGAAGCTGAAATCATTTCTTTGTCGTTAAGTTATGTTCTCAAACGACCCGCATTGACAATTTCTGGGTGTAAGTAGAGATTTGAGGGAGGCATAACTGTATCTGTTGTATCCTTTATTTCAGTTTCGGTGGATGTGTTTAACATAGTCACCATAATCATTTAGTGAGATGATATCATCTATATAGCGGACCATGAGGTAAAAGAATAATGCTAGTTTGTTTTCATTATTACAGAGAAGCTCCTGTATTAAGTATGCCTTATATGAATAAGAAGAGAGAATTTGATTAAATATACTCCAGCAAATTTTTGTAATCTTTTAAGTGAAACTAGAAATTTGTAAAGAGGTTTCGTCGATTATTTGAATGACACAGCAACAGCACGTTGTTTTAATGACATTTATGAAATTCGGGTATCTTTTTCAGTATAGTAAGACCAAGTTCTTCATGTTTGGTTGAAAATCAAAAGGAATATATAACATACTTATGGTTGTTGACGATTTCCTCTTTAATTAATGTTGTCAGAAAGAATGTCGGTTTTTCAAATTAATGGTGAATACCTTTCTCCTTTGTAAAGAAGGTTGTTTTTTATGCACTGTGATTTAAAAAAGCAAATGAAATGGGTAAGAGCTTTGTCTGTAGCTAGTGCTAGTTTTTGTATGCTACCTTGATTTGTCCTCTTGATCAATTAATGGGATATGAAAATCCGTAAACTATGTTTTGCTACAATCTACTATTCATGGCGAAGGATTACCTGATTCGATGACATCAATACCTTTTTCTGCAAAAACATTTTAGACAAATTTGTTTTCTCGTCTTCATCTTACCGATGTATGCCAATTTGAAAGTATGTGACGGGCAATATTCGATATGATAGCTGTAAATACTGGCAAGGATGAGTATTTGTCAATTACAAGTTGTACAAAAAAAGATTCGAACGTAGTCAAAGCAGTTTTGTGTGGATGTCATGTACTTCCAGCTGGTTTTGTATATTTAATAGAATTATCATTAATAGTTGGGGATGCCTATTGTCTGCTTCGATGAATAGAGCTAAAAACTACACAATCACGAATGTACAGGAAGGACTTATTAGAATGCATGTACTTTAAATTTAGTCACTGTACCTATAGTTTCCAGTTTTCGAATCATATTAGGTCCGAGGACATAGTTATCGTCCTTTGATTTTCGTTGTCCCTAGTGTGGACAGTGTATAACTTGCAAATTTTTTTCATATACCTTCCAAATTTATTTCTCTATATTTTATGTAAAAAATAGTAAGTAGGGGGATGAAATTACATGTAAAAAAAAATTGGGGCATGAATGTTTAGGTGACGTAGTGATTTGGTCCAATTTGAAAAGGTCAAAAATTAGTATGTCTGAAGCCGTCAAACTGAATTATAGACCCCTTAATTAAAAATGGTCCATATTTTGAATAAGAGCCAATAGACTTTTCTATAACTTTGATATAATTTGTCCCAAAAGTAGTACACTACACTGTAAAAATCTTTTTAGGATAGAGCAAGTGCGATTTTTTTAATTTGCGTTTTTTGTCTAAAAGAAATGCACTACGAAATAACTATGTTCTCAGGCCTAAATAGTCTTCTTTTGTAAGTCCTTTGGTTTGATAATATACAAGTAAACGATGATGCAATCTTCTTAACACTTAACAATACCAAGTTTGACATAACCGTTCGAGAAATGATATGCAAAACTGAAAAATGATTTTTAAAATGTTACCTTGATATTTTGCCTTTAATTAAGAATTTTACACTGGTATGAATTTAGAGCTACATGCTTACACTCTGAAAGAACTGTGGATGCCTTGTTCTATCAGTCAGCACAACTTTGTTAATTTTTCCAATTGTATTTGCATTTACTCTATATGATATTCTTCAAACGTCTTTTTTTACCAACAGGTGCATACAAACCTTGCAAATATGCATAATTAACATAAAGAATACAACACGTTGTGAACGAAATTAAAATAAATTAATACATAATCAAGATTTGATGAATTTCATCTCTGTTGAACACATGTTTATTTCCATTCATTTAATATTTAAAAAAGCATAATATAAGATAAAATGATGAGATATGAGTAACAATGCGACAACTCTCAACCGAGTCCAAATAAAGCGTATTAAAACAACTATAGGTACCTGTCCGGCCTTCAACAATGAGCAAAACCCATATGGTATAACAAGCTATAAAAGGCAAAAAAAGGCAAAATGTACTACAGTCCAAACGGAGAAACAACGGCCAAAATTATGACACAAATATAACTGAAAAGCAGCCTACTTTATGTCTTTTATTTTTTTTCAGTTGAGAGTCCTAATACCTAAATCTCGTTATGTATATTGAATATTTAAAAAACATTTGAAACTGATGAATATGCATGAACTAAAAATAAGCAGCGAGACCGGGTATGCCGACATTATGACTGTCTCCTGCTATGCATGCATCACCCACAAAAAAAAGTTACTTTCAATTTAGCATAACACATTATTGTACTAAAGTTTTCAAGTATTAAAAAAGTTAATTTGACTAAGTCAGGATTCAAATAGCTGGAGATACATACATAAATGCAAATGCCTATTCTGTCGACTCATAGGGTCTCGCTCCATTCGGAATCGATGACTTTGATTTCCATCATCTCTTTTATTTTTCATTGTTTTGTATACTAAATAAATCTGCGATTTTTTTTTTTATATCAGTTAACAACTGTTGTCTCCTTTTTGATACAATGAAGATGACAACATCATTAGACTCATTTTTAGCGTCTTATAA